AGAACACATGGACACAGGGAGGGGAGCACTACACACTGGGGTCAGTTGGGGGGAAATAGGGGAGGGACAGTGGAGAGTGGGGAGTTGGGGAGAGATAGCAAGGGGAGAGATGCCAGATGTAGGTGATGGGGAGGAAGGCAGTAAAATCACACTGCCACGTGTGTACCTATGCAACAATCTTGCATGTTCTTCACATGTACCCCAAAACCTAAAATGCAATAAAATAAATGGAAAAAAAAAATAGACTGCAAAAGTTAAGGTATGTGTAATGTAAACCCTAAAGCAAAAAGTTAAAGAACAAAAAAAATTTTTAAGCCAATATATAAATTAAAATGGAATACTAAAAACATTCAAAAAATCTAAAAAAACTCAAAAACAGAGAAAGACGGGAACAAAAAAGCAGAGAATACAAACAGAAAATAATAAAATAGTAGGCAAATCCAATCATTTCAATAATTATATTAAATATAAATGGTCTAAATATACTAATTAAAAGACATCATGTCAGATTGAACAAAAATACAATTATTGTACACACTGACTATAAGAAATTCACTTTAAATATAATGATATAGACAAAAGTAAAAGCTGCAAAAGTCATATAATGCAGATACTAATCAAAAGAAAGCTGAAGCTGATATATTATTATCAAAGTAGACTTCAGAACAAAAAACTTTCTAGGTACAAAGACATTACATAATGATAAAATGTCAATTCACCAAAAAGACATAATAATCCTAAATGTGTTGTACCTAGCAACAAAGCTCCAAAATGTATGAAGTAAAAAACTGATAAAAACCTTGAAAGAAAATAGACAAATTCACAATCATAGTAGAAGATAGTAACACTCCTTTATCAAGAATGTTCCTCAATAAAACAAGAAGACAAAAATCAACAATGATACAGAAGGCCTTAACACTAACAACCAACTTGATGTCATTGACATTCATTGACTACTCTACTTAACAAGAACAGAATACATTTTCTTTTCAAATGCGCATGTATCATATACCAAGATCAACCATATTCTGAAGTCAAATAACAAATTTTAGGAAACTGAAAAGAAAGAATATCATACAAAATACATTCTCAGATTGTGCCAGAAATGAACTAAAAATCAATGACAGAAAGTTATCTGGAAAGTTCTCAAATATTTGGAACTTAAACATCAGAATTCTAGATAACCCATGCATCAAAGATGAAATAACAGGAAAATTATAAAATATTTTAATCTGAATAAAACTTAAAATCCAACATATCAAAACTTGTAGGATGTAGGTAGAGCAGTGTTTAGAAGAAAATTTAGAGGATTAAATATTTACATATTAAAAATAAGGCCTCAAGCCAATAATCTAAGCTTACAAATAGAAAATCACAAATTAAATATAAAACAAGCAGATAAAAGATAAAAATAAAGAGCAGAAGTCAATGAAATGGAAAATAGAAAAGCAATAGAGAAAAATCATTGAAATCAAAAGTTGATTCTTTGAAAGAATCAGTATGATTGATGAAACTATAGTCAGAATGACCAAGATAAAAAAAGAGAAGACACAAATCACCAGTATCATAAATAAAATAGGGATGTCACAAAAGGCCCTATGGACATTAAAAAGGTAATATGGAAAAACAACCAACAACGTCATACATATAATTTCAGTAACTTCGATGAAATAGATCAGTTCCTTTAAGACACAAATTGCTAAAGTTCACTCAAAAATAAACAGATACCCTGAATAGCCACCCTATATTTATTAAAGTAATTTTGCTTTTAAAGCTTTCTATAGGTTGAGCGAGGTTGCTTATGCCTGTAATCCCAGCACTCTGGGAGGCTGAGGCGGGCAGATTACCTGAGGTCAGGAGTTTGAGACCAGGCTGGCCAACATGTCAAAACGCTGTCTCTACTAAAAATACAAAAATTAGCTGGGGGTAGTGGCACATGCCTGTAATCCCAGCTACTCAAGAGGCTGAGGCAGGAGAATTGCTTGAACCAGGAGGCGGAGGTTGCAGTGAACTGAGATCACGGCACTGCACTCCAGCCTGGGAGACAGATCAAGACTCCATCTTAAAAAAAA